CGAAATTTCAGTGGACAGAAGAAGCACAGAAAGCATTCGAGGAGTTGAAGAGGATGATGGTCGATCTACCGCTATTGGCAAAACCGGCGCAAGGGGAGGACTTGGTGTTATATGTATCCATCGGTGAGACGACAGTGAGCTATGTGTTATTGCGGGAGGAAGGGACAGCCCAGTTTCCTATCTATTACGTAAGTAAGGTGATGCAAGGGGCGGAAAGGAGGTACTCAGAGATTGAAAAAGGGGCCTTGGCGGTGGTGGTCACTGTAAGGAAGCTGAGACCATATTTCTTGGGACATAGGGTGAAGGTCCGAACGAACATGCCATTGGGAGAAACGGTGGGTCGACCCTCCGTGTCGGGGCGGTTAGTCAAATGGGCGGTCGAGCTGAGTGAATACACAATTATCTACGAGCCAAGGAGAGCGATTAAGGCGCAAGCGTTGGCTGACTTTATTCAAGAAGGGACGAAGGAAAGCGAGGAGTTCGAGGGGGTATGGCGAGTGTTTGCAGATGGATCGGTATCGAGGGCTGGAGTTGGCCTAGGCATCATACTTATGTCGCTGAAAGGTGACAGCTTGGAGTTCGCAATTAAGGTGGCCTACCAGATATCAAACAATGAAGCAGAATACGAAGCGGTCATTAAAGGACTCAAACTGGCCTTAAGTGGCGGAGCTCGAGCAGTGCAGGTGCATTCAGACTCACAATTGGTGGTGGGCCAATTCCAGGAGGGGTTCGAGGTCTGGGAGGAAAGGATGATGAGGTATGTGGAGGAGATAAAGAAGCTGCAGGGAGAATTTGATTCCTTCGAATTAATCCAAATACCTCGAGGAGAAAATGGTCGAGCAGATCTGTTGGCTAAAATGGCACAAAGTCTGGTGGACTGCAAGAGCAGAAGTGTGACCTTGCTGCACATGGAGAAGAGTGTGGTCGAGAAGGAGGTGGTCGAGATAGAAGAAGTGGAGGATTGGAGGGCGTCGATAATGAAAGAATTAAAGGGAGGAGCTGTTAAAGTGATAAGAAGATTTTTCGAGCATAGAGGGATCCTCTACAAAAGGTCGCACGCGGGCCCCCACTTGCGATGTGTAGCCGGAGAAGAGGGGCGATATGTGTTGAAGGAAATTCATGAGGGCTGCTGTAGTGACCACAGCAAGGCAGGTTCCCTGGTAGCAAAAGCTCTAAGAGCAGGATATTTCTGGCCGACGATGAGAGAAGATGCCAAAGTGATGGTGCGGAAGTGTTTGCAATGCCAGAAGCACGGCCCACTTATTCACCAGCCGGCCGAAGCCATGACAGCAATGAGTTCTCCCATCCCGTTCGCCCAATGGGGGATCGACCTGGTTGGGCCCATGCCCCAAGGAACCGGACAGAGGAAGTTCTTGATTGTCGCGCTCGATTACTTCACGAAGTGGGTGGAGGCTGAACCCCTAGCAAAAATCACGGAGGAGAAAGTGATACATTTCCTATATGATAACATATGTTGCAGGTTTGGAGTTCCTAAGGTGTTGGTGTCGGACAATGGGACACAGTTCAATGGCAAGAGGATTAGGGCATGGTGCGAGGACATGAAAATTGATCAACATTTCGCTTCAGTCGCACACCCGCAGGCCAACGGGCAGGTCGAAGTGACCCACAGAATTATATTGAATGGTCTGAAAACAAGGCTGGAGAAAGCATCGGGAGCATGGGTGGATGAACTTACTTCGGTGCTATGGGCGTACAGAACAACTCCCCAATCGACCACTGGGGAAACACCGTTTAGTATGGTATACAGCATAGAGGCTTTGTTGCCGATAGAGGTCGAGGTTCAGTCCCAAAGATCGAGCACATATGATCGAGAACAGAATGAACATCTGATGATGGCAGCGCTCGACACAATCGAAGAGCTTCGAGGAAAGGCAACAATCAGAGTTGAGGCGTACAAACAAAGGATGCGAGCAGCGCATGATAGAAAAGTGAAAACACGAAGATTCCAACTGGGTGACTTGGTGTGGAAGAGAGTCGATGTGCTGAAACACGTCGGGAAATTAGAGCCAAACTGGGAAGGACCATACCTGGTCGAAAAGGTCCATGCTGGAGGGGCATACT